GCCTGGGTACTAGAAGAATATAGGGTAGAAAATTCAATAGCTCAGATCCACACTGTAAGAAAGGAAGACACATAGACAACATGAAAAGACAAGGGAGGAAAGTGCCCCAAACAAACCAGGACACTGTAATTACAGAACCCATGGACAGTGAAGTTGATGAAATGTCAGAGAAGGAATTCAGAAGGTTCATAATTAAAATGATCTGTGAATTAAAGAATTACCTAAATAAGCAAATACAGGCAAAAACTGATCACTCCAACAAAGAGACAAGAGAGCAAATACAGGTAGAAAAAGATTACTTCAAGAGAGAGATGGAGACTGAAAAAAAAATAATCAGAAATCCTTGAAATAAAGGACACAATAAACCAAATAAAAAACTCAATACAAAGCATAACAACAGACTAGATCACTTGGAAGAAAGAACATCAATCAATGAAGAAAGAAAAGATAGCCTCTTCAACAAATGGTGCTGAGGAAATTGAAGATCCATATGTAACAAAATGAAATTAAACCCCTATCTCTCACTGTGCACAAAACTCAACTCAAAGTGGATCAAGGACCTAGAAATTAAACCAGAGACAGTCTATTAGAAGAAAATGTAGGTCCAAATCGCCATCATGTCGGATTAGGTCCCCACTTCCTTAATAAGACTCCTATAGCAAAAGAATTAATATCAAGAATCATTAAATGAGATGGATTCAAACTAAAAAGTTTCTTCTCAGCACAAGAAACAAATCAGTGAGGTAAATAGAGAGCCTACTAATTGGGAACTAATTCTTACCACAGGCACGTCAGATAGAGCACTAATCTCTTGAATATATAAAGAGCTCAAAAATCTTAACACCAAAAAAACAAATAACCCAATCAATAAATAGTCTAAGGACCTGAACAGATACTTCTCAGAAGATATACAATCAATCAACAAATATGCAAAAAAATGTTCAACATCTCTAGTAATTAAAAAAATGCAAATCAAAACTACTCTAAGATTTCATCTCATTCCAGTCAAATGGCAGTTGTTAAGAATACAAACAACAATAAGTGTTGATGAGGATGTGGGGGGGGGGGCAAAGGCACACTCATACATTGCTGGTGGGACTGCAAACTGGTGCAGCCAATAAGGAAAGCAAAATGGAGAATCCTTGGAAAACTTGGAATGGAACCACAATTTGCCCCAGCTATCCCAATCCTAAAATCCCAAAGGACTTAAAAACAACATACTACAGGGACACAGCCACATCAATTTTTATAGTCTCACAATTCACAATAGCTACACTGTGGAAGCAACCTAGATGCCCTTCAGTAGATGGATGGATAAAGAAAATGTGGTATGGATACACAATGGAATATTACTCATAATTAAATGGAATAAATTCATGGCATTTGCAGGTAAATGGATGGAGCTGGAGAATATAAAGCTAAGAATATTGGAAATTAGCCAATCCCCCAAAATCAAAAGCTGAATAATTTCTCTGATTAAAGGATGCTCATTCATAATATGCTGCGGGGGCTGGGGAGAGGATTAAATGAACTCTAGATAGGGCAACGGGGAAAGGGGGAGGGAGTGGAAGGGAGGGGATATAGGGGTAGAAAAGACAGTGGAATGTGGTGGTCATCATTACCCTAAGTACATGTATAAAGACACAAAGGATGTGAGGTCTACTTTGTGTACAACCAGAGATATGAAAAATTGTGCTCTATATGTGTAATATGAATTGTAATGCATTCTGTTGTCATATATAAAAAACTAAAATATTTTTAAAAATTAAAAAATAAAAAAGCAAAAAAATTAGTTACAGTTATATATGTTCTGTTGGTAATTTTAAATGGTAGGCAAATTTGTTGAATAAACTAAAATTTTAGCTATATATTTAATATAAATGACATAACTAAACTTAAGTTCCTCTGATAGATTAAAAGGATAAAAACATTAAATCTGGCAAAATAATACTAGTAAATTGGAATGACAATAATAGTTTTAAACAAGGTTAAATTCACAGCAGATAATATCACATAAATCAAAGAAGGTCACACAATTTACAAATATTTCTAGAAATAGAAATATTTGGCATCTCTATAATACTGACTCCTTCTTAGAAAAGAAAATGTTATGAAATGTATTTAACTTTTAGTTATTCTTAAAAGAGTGTTTACCTTTTGCCTTGTATTTCTTTGTATTAATAGAAAGAGAAGTAGCCTTTTTGTAAATAATAATAATGATAATATTTGCACAAACCTTTCAACCTAGCAATTCATTTGGGACTCATTGCTGCACTTATGTAAGGATTTGCATGTAATGTGCTTACCACCACTGGATTAGAAGACTATGGGGGGGCGGAGGGGGAACGTGTATATATCCAAAAGTGAATGGCTGCATGAATTTGGTATACCCAAGCCCGAAGCTAGTAGAAATAGTCAAGAGATGGTTCATATATAACCTATTAAGGACTACTCTTCAGGGTACAGATTCATAACCAATTAGTGCTTCTTAAAACAAACACACACAATACCTCATTTCCATACATGCTTGTTTCTGTTTGATTAAGTGCAACACAAGTCAAAGAATGCCTACCATTGCTTATTTCTCATAGCAGGATTTTATAAGTTTAGAAAGGTTTTTGGTTTTTTTCCTTAAAAACATCTCTTTACTCTGATTTGTCACAAGAAGCAAGGATTATTTTGGTAATGTAAGAAAGAAATTTTAGGGCCTCGAGAAACAAATTAAAAAAATAGCTTTTCCCGGGGGTTTTACATAGTAGAATAAATGTGAATATAGGAGACACATAGTATTATTCTAGAACAGGAGGTGGCGAGGTGCCCCTACAACTCCATTTATGTGTTTCCTGTCTTCTAGGTTAGGGTACGCCAACTTGTTCTATAAAGGACCAGATTGCAAGTATTTTAAGCTTGGAAGGCCATATGGTCTCTGTCACTACTACTCAACTCTGCTCTTAAGGCACAAGCTCTGCCATAGGCAACTTGTAAACAAATAACAGTAACTGTGTTCTAATAAAGCTTTATTTGTGGGCTCTGAGATATAAATTTTCTGTAGTTTTCATCTGTCACAAAATATTATTATTTTTTTCAAATTTACTACATAAGAATTTAAACAGTATTCTTCGTTCATGGGTTTTCTAAAAACAGGCTTTGGGCCATAGCTTCCAACCCCTGTTTTAGATACTCCAAGTGTAACTGGAAATGTGCTACTGGAATTAGGTCCTGTTGTCCAAGGCAGAAAATGTCACTGGAACCATGCCGAGCCCAGTACCCAACTCAGACAAGATTAGCTGTCACTCCTAGGTGGTCTGAATCATGGAATCTGGAAAATACCTCCTGCCTTTCCTGATGAGGTGAACTTGACTACTTTAGCAGCTCTAATTCTGTACTTGGAAACCTCATTCTCTACTGAAAAAAAAAATGCTAAAATTCTAAAGCGGGAAAAAATGCATTAGGCTATGCTATCTTTCACTATGTGAAATTGTGAAAATGATTTCCCCTAACAACTGTACCCAGAAAATGGAAGTTTTAATGGAGTGGATGAGAGGATGAAAGCCCCCATTTATATAATAGATCCCACAGAGAAAGGCCCTGTGGACTCTCGAGGGCCCAGTGCTATCAGCCAGAGGTCCTAAGGAGGCAAGGGGCTGGGCGAGAGAGAGTGAGGAGACACAGGTGAGGGAGGGCTGTGGAAATTGGGGCTTGAGGGAACACGAGGTCAAACAAAACCTGTGAAATGATTGACCCAGAACATATCCCGGTTTTCCGACTAAAGTTAAAACTGAATAAAACAAAGGCATTTGAGGGGAAAAGAGGAGAACCATGAGAATCATTTCCATTTCTCTTGGGATTTCTGGCAAGGAATCTCTCTATGGTTTAGCTGCAGAATGAAGAGGGACAACCTGCTTGATAAAACCTGATAAAACTGTAGAGAATACGCCCTAGATGTAAGCCAGGATATTGTAAAGTAGGGATGCTGAGAGTATAGTCGGTGGAGAAATGTTTTAAAAATAAATCTGGAGAAGACTGTGTTCAGCCTGGTGTTGAAGGCTCATTTTCTGTAGAGCCATTTCAAGTCCTGAATATTCTAATGTAATCTGTTAACCTCCCAGAGGAGCTAACAAGCTCACCCTTCCAAACACCATCTGAAGACAATATGGGGTGGGGGATTGACATATGTGTGCATTGTCCCTCAGGAATAATCCCTTCAACATGGTTTTTGAAAAACACCATTTTAGTTATAACCTTCTTATGATGAAATTTTCCCTAAAATAAAAATCACCCAATCTATGAGGAATAAACTAAATTTATATTTACATGCAATTAACAGATTGGCCTTCCTATGACACCAACTGTAGGAGATATTTACACAAATTCTTTTAAAAAAAACTAAAGCTTCAACTTACTAAAGGGGTTTTATGTTTAAAAATTTGTGTCACTTCTAATAACTCAGAAGTTACTTACTAACAGAAACTAATTAAAAAAAATAGTAGCTAAGTTCCTAATCAAGCCTGCTAATTTTATCAATAAAGTCAAAATTACTGATGATGCAATACAACTTAGAAAAAAATCACTATTATTTAAATAAAAATAATTACATAGAATGAAAATGCAGAAATACCTTTTTAAAAAATATTTTTTTAGTTGCAGATGGACACAATATCTTTATTTATCCATTTTTATGTGATGTTGAGGATAGAACCCAGTACTTCATACATTCAAGGCAGGCACTCTACCACTGAGCTACTGCCCCAGCCCCCAGAAATACCTTTTTGAATGCTACATTAAATTTAATACTTCTGCAGAAAAAAAAAAAAAACCTAGTGGATGAAGTTAAAAAAGTTTAAAAAAATTATGAAGGTAATTTTGTGGTTTGCCATAAGCTTGAGGTATTTGTTTTTAATTGTAATAATTTAAAGTAAAATTGTTTTAACAAAATATATAAAATAAATATTATGAAGAATGTAAAGCTGGCGCCGGCGCGGTGCCCGCCAGGGCGCGCGGGGGAGCTCTCGGGGCGCCTGCGCAGTGCAAGACCTGCCGCTCTGGTGTCGCCGCCGCCGCTGCCGCAGCTGCCGTTGCCGCCTCCCTGCCTGCAAGTGTGTGAAGGAGGAGCCGAGGGTCGCCGCCGCTGCCACCGCCATGGGGAGAAAGTCAAGCAAAGCAAAGGAGAAGAAGCAGAAGCGGCTGGAGGAACGTGCAGCCATGGATGCTGTCTGTGCCAAAGTGGATGCAGCCAACAGGCTTGGAGACCCTCTGGAGGCTTTCCCAGTGTTCAAGAAATATGACCGGAACGGGTTGAATGTCTCCATTGAATGTAAGCGGGTGTCTGGACTGGAGCCAGCCACCGTGGACTGGGCGTTTGACCTGACCAAAACGAATATGCAAACCATGTATGAGCAGAGTGAGTGGGGCTGGAAAGACCGAGAGAAACGGGAGGAAATGACGGACGACCGAGCGTGGTATCTCATTGCTTGGGAGAACAGTTCTGTGCCTGTTGCCTTTTCTCACTTCCGATTTGACGTGGAGTGCGGGGATGAAGTCCTGTACTGCTATGAAGTGCAGTTGGAGAGCAAAGTGCCGCGGAAAGGCCTGGGGAAGTTCCTCATACAGATCCTGCAGCTTATGGCCAACAGTACACAGATGAAGAAGGTGATGCTAACAGTATTTAAACACAATCACGGTGCCTACCAGTTCTTCCGAGAAGCACTACAATTTGAAATTGATGACTCTTCTCCCAGCATGTCTGGCTGCTGTGGGGAAGACTGCTCCTATGAGATCCTGAGCCGGAGAACCAAGTTTGGGGACAGCCAGCACTCCCACGCAGGTGGGCACTGTGGCGGCTGCTGTCACTGAACTCCCAGAGCCACTTACGTCAGAATCTGCTCTCCTAAGGCCTGTCTTCTCCCCTGGTCTCACGTCACTTGCCAGGTGCCCTAAGAGCTGTGGTCTCCTCAACCCTGTATGTACCAGATGGCACCCTGAGAGCACAGAACCCTGGGGAGGAGTGGTCCACGCTGCCCCGTCTCCTCTCTCTTGGAAGAGCACAGTGCCAGGAGGGAATGGAGGGAGAGGGTGCTACAGGAAGACCACTGCGGGCCGGCGGGAAGCTCCTCTCTTGTGGCTGCCTCCTTACTCCACTCAGAAGGTTCCCCTACTTCCCCACAGTTGGATTCCTGGTGGACCTTCCCCTTCCCTGGACAAATGGAATGTTTTATCCACTCTTGTGAAAGTTTTAAGAGTCCTGGTCTGGGGTCTGCTGGGCCCCAAAGAGGACTGGACTTTGTATGATCCAAGTGCAAAGCAAGAGAGAGAGACCCTGGTTCAGAGAGACCCTGGCTCCCTTACTTCTCGATCTCATGGATGGCGCTCGTGTGGAGACTGCATAGGCCTTCTACACCAAGATACAGGGAAGCTCTTTCTAGCCACATGCTTGTAGATCCACAGAGTGGAGTTGTCCAGGGACCGGCCAACCGGAAGGCTGCCTCTCTCCATTGCTGTCAGGGAGGGCGGACAGGACCAGCCAGGTGTCCTGGGGGCTAACATGGGGATGCCTGCTTCTCTGGGCTCTTAGACTTTGCTGCATTCTAAGCTTGACCTCTTGATCTCATGGCGGTGACTTGAGCTTTTAATTCAAGAAGAAAGCCAGAGGCCCTGCCTGTTCCTCTCCATTGCCCTCTCGACACTTTCTCCCCTGCCTCTTGCCTCCACCCCAGATACCTCTGTTCTTAGTCTCAAGGGGGGAGTAACATCAGGGAGCCTCTTGTCTTCCCCCAGAAGGATCCCTTGTTCCTGGTGTAGTTGATACTTTCCTCTCACCTGTTGGTGCTGATATCTCTCTGAAGGTGGGATGTCCCACCGCTGTCCTCCCTCTTCAGAGAGCCCCCAGCCAGCAGCAGGCCCCTCTGCCTGCACCCCCAGCCTCACCCCTCACTGTTTCAGTGAGGCACTGGTGCCACTGTCCTGGCCAAGCCGGGCCACAGCTCAGCTGCAGCAGGAATGCCCTTCAGTGGCCCAAACAGCTGCTCTGCTTTTCTCTCTGGTGTCATCCTGTGTCAGCAGGTTGGAGCAGTGGGAGAAGGCCTTCCTCTTAGAGGTGTAGAGGATGTGGGCTCTGAACTTACACTCATCCTGATCTCTAGGCCTTGTTCCTCTTCCAGAAGAAAAACCAAATCTTTATCCAGGAAAAAGCACCTAACACCTCCCTTTTGACGTCCCAAGCTTTGCTTCAGGGAATGTCGTGAAGGTTCTAGCCTTTGTGCAGTTGTCTCCTAGGGGGTCCGTCAGCCCCTCTGCTGCTGGAGTCTGCTCACTCCACCCTCTGCCCTTACTCAGGTGGTCTGTCCTGGCAGATCTCATTAGAGTGGTCCTTGCTTCTCACCCAGAGTCCTGCCTGCATAGCAGCCTGTGCTCATGAGGCCTCGCTTCCCAGCCTGGCCTCTGCTGAGAGCCTGGTGCTGCTCTCGACCCCACCAGCAGCGGGCCTGGCACTCCTGGGAGAGGGCCTCGCAGCTTTACACTGGATACGGCCACGGTCGCCTTGCCTGCTGGCTCCCTGGGGTTTTACCCCAGTGAGAGTTGAACTTTTTGGGTAGGGGTTGGCAAACTCCTAAGAATCACAAAACAACAAGAGCACGTTTAGGAAGAGTCTGATCCCTGTCTCAAAGTACAGAGTGCTAAATATTTATTGTCTTAGATCATGAATTTCTGATACCTCCCACTCAAGGGGACCAAAAGGAACCCCCAGTATAGACCCCATTTGAGGTGAGCTCAGTTTATGTTGTCTCTTTCCAGTCATTGGTAATGGGATGCTCAGGGCCATGCCCTGCTTCCCCCAGCCTCTGCAGGCCATGTCCCAGAGGCGGCATCAGGAGGTTAGGCTGGGAGGTTAGGCACTGGCTGAGACTGCAGGTGTGGGTGTTGGGCCCTCATGTCTCAGATGGCAGTTTCCACCTCCCTTGGGTCTTGGTTTTGAGAAACAGCAGGCCTTTTTTGTTGGTTTTTTTGTTTGGGGCATGTTAAGATATATTTTTAAGTTTTTTTTTTTTAAGTTGTATCTGCTCTATTTCAGGTTATTTGTTGGTGTCAGCTATGTATGGTTCTTTTTAACCCTTTGTGTTTTTTTAGAGAAAACTTGGAAGATAAACTTCTTGATATATATATATTTTTTTCTTTAGCAACTTGTTATCACTGGAATCAAAGGGAAAAGTGATCTCTTTTTTGCATTGGTTGTATTTGTATGTCACAAATAAAAGACACTTTGTTCAGCTGCAAAAAAAAAAAAAAAAAAAAGAATGTAAAGCTACACATAATTTTTAAAAAATTTATATTGTTAGATTATTTTCTTTGCCTACCCATATGTCTTTCAGAAAGATTTTGCTTTAATATTATTTATTCTTTTTAACATCATTTATTTAAGTGTAACAAATACAGAAAAGCAGGTAGAGAAAACACATTCACCTTGATGGATTACCACAGCATAATCACCCTAAGAGCCACCACTCAAGAGAACAACATTGCAAGAACCTACCTTAAACCCCCTCCTCGTCAAAGGTACCGTGATGCTTGCTTCTACCAGAATATAGCTACTTTTGCAAGTTTTGAGATTTATGAGAAGGAATAATATAGCATGTCATCTTCTGGTTTTTCAAGTCAGTATTCTGTTTATGGGATTTGTCCAGATACTTATGTATTGAGATATATATATATATATATATATATATATATATATATATATTGCCTTTACTGGTGCATAGTACACTAGTACACTGCGGTATGACTATATCATCATTCAGTTATTTGTTTCTGTTTTGTTGATAATGAGCAGTGGAATAGTTGGATCACAGGGACAAAGAACATTCACATTCAGCAATTAAGGCCAAACAGACTGACAAAGTTGTCCTGATTTACATTTCCACTGGAGTTTCCATTGTGTCCTGAACTTGCTAACATTCGGTACCATCGGTTTGCTTCATTTAGCCATTATGGTACACGTGTGGTCATTTGTTATGTCTTAATTAGCATTTTTCTAATTTCTGCAGTCAAGCAACATTTTATATATTTGATGAACATTTGTGTATCTTCTTTTGTGTTCAAGACATTTGTCCTTAATTTCACCGGATTATCTTTATTATCTTTAATGACCCTTCACATAGTCTAGATATAATCCCTATCCTATGTTTCAACCCTTTCTTGTTAATATTTGGATGAGTTTATCAGGATATGCTGGTGGAGAAAAAAAACTCTACATATCAATAGATGTATACAAAAATACTTAGATGTGCTGCAGGCCATTGGGTTTGGGGACAGCTATTTTTTCCACATAGTTACTCCAGGGCCCCAAATGACAAGTGCTACACCATGTAGAGTGCTGCTGCTTTCTATGGCCAGTAAATCACAGAAAACTGACAAATTTAAATGAGAAATTTGAACTTTTTTTTGTGTGAACAAATTCTTCACAAATTGTTGATAGACCTTTATTTCATCTTTATGTGGTGCTGAGGATCGAACCCAGTGCCTCACACACACTAGGCAAGCGTTCTACCACTGAGCCACAACCCCAGCCCTATGGACATGTCTTTTTAATATCAGAATCTTGCACTTGAATCAGTAAGATGCAGTTCCTGGTGGAGGATTTTAAGTGATGATATTTTCAAGTTCTTGATATGATCATTAATAAAACTTGATGCATAATAAATTTGCAGGAAGAAAACAAAATGACCACAGATGAACTTGTATTTGAAGATTCCAAGAACATTTTTTTCCTTTTCTTGACAAATCAATGTTGAAATTGCTCATGAAAATGGGAATAGATTTTGAATCCAATTCAGTTCTGTCAACTGTTTCAAATTACGATGAGGTCTGATTTGTAGCCACATCTTGAAACTAGCATAAACACTATAAAGGGGGAATATCTGCCCCAGACAGATACCTGTATGCTCTTTGTGAGAACAGAAATTCAGGGATCTAGGTTGCTTCCCTCACCAACAGTCCCTGCCCTCCTTGCTGGATAATCTCTCTAACTGCATGAGTTAACCTTTGGGTACCTGAAATATATGCTCCTGCAACAACAGCCCTCTTTACTTGATGAACAGCAATACACTCTAACTGGCTGCTCAAGTCATCAAGTGACTGACTGCTGAACAGTGTGTGGCAGTGAGGTAATGGGGGCCAGATGGCATTCATCCAGCTTGCCACCTTCAGAGAACTGAGAAAGAACAGCTATGCTTGGAAAAGTTCTGCAGGGAGGTTTGTGCTAAGGCAGAAGCAACAAGTGGTAAGATGTATCTGGCCAAGCTCCCTAGTGCTGGACTCTGACTCTTTCCACAATGTGCTGGGCACAAATTAACTGGACTCTTTAGGCAATTATAAGGACATTCTTTCTATTTAACACATGATGAAGCGAAGGCACAGAAAGATCAGATGCCATATGCAGAGTGACACAGAGGGCTAAGTGAGGAGTCAGGCACCTGGTTCTATAGTTGTTGCTCCAGCCCATCACCTTCAACAAATGTCCCATGATTTGCTCAAAGTGAAACCCATCACACAATTCCAAAGAATGGCCAAGTTGTGTGTGAGTATCAACTATCTTCAGTGTGGGAATAATTTTATATGATTTAGCTGCATAAATTTAATAAAATAAGAAATAAAGTTATTATTCTTTAGAATTCAGGTGCATAGAAGTGACATAATCAGCCACAGTATATTTCACACTATAGTACTTACTTCTTACTTCTTATATTCATATTTAATTCATTCATTTTGCCTTTATTTTCCTCACTTTCATCCCTTTGAACATCCCTAATAGCACCTCATATTCACCCCAAATCATCAAGTCACCATACACTTTGTGAATCCCATTTACATGATAGCTTTTGGTGACTTATCTTTTTATGTTTTCAAATTTTTCATTCGAAATATTTCTGTGAGTTCTCACACTGTCCCTCATAAGTATAGTAATTTCCTTTACACTGCTACATGGTACCCCATCATTTCCAATACCACATTTTATCTACCCAGGTATTGTGGACAGACCTTACAATTGTTGCCCACTCTGGTTGTCTAACCATGCTGGACAGTCTCTTTGTGTAGAACAATTTTCCTCAAGAATATATCTCAAGGAATAGCGTCAAGTCACATTCTGTGTACAGATACTAATTCACCCTGCAGAAAAGTTGGACCTAACTATATTTAAGAAACAGAGAGAGATCCAATTTCCCACACTTATATCTGACCTTAATCTTAGCAGTAAAAAGTAGCATTTCATTGCTTTTGCTTTTATTAGTTTGAGAATTTTCCTCACTAATGAGATTGAATAATCTTTATCATTTTTTAGCTATTATGTTCCTTCCTACAGATTTTTAAATTACATCCTTTCTTGGCTAACTAGTAGCACTCCTGCCTCATTATTTCTAAATTGAAAGAATTTCTTATATATTCAAGATTTTAATCCTTTTTATTCATATTGTATACTAGAATCATCTCCTAGTCTATGACCCGTCTTGTTATTTTTGCCCATGGGAATGATTGGTATAATAGAAATTGTTACTTGTGTGTTATTCAAAATCTTCAAATTTTCTCTTCATATACTGTATTTTATGCATTTTTTATGTTTTTACATTTTCTTGAGGTTTAACATGCACAAAAGACATAGATTCCAATGAATGTTTACATATGTGCAAATCCTTGTGACAATCACGCAAAGCAACACATAGAACATTTTTAGCATCTGAGAAGGTTCTTATATGCATTTTACAAAAAAAAAAAAAAACCCACACTCCTGTCCTCCCCCTCTGTCCTATGCTGTCATTCACATGTTTGTTCTTCAGCTTCATATAAAGGGGATCATACGTTAGGCAATCCTTCGTGTCTGGATTCATGCACTCATTGCTACCACAGTGAGATTCCTATACATTGTGGGCAACAGAAGTTCTATTTGTCCATGTGCAGTTTTACACTGAATAAATTGTTTTGGTTAGCTTTTTCACTTTGTGACCAAAGACCTGATGAAAACAATTTTAGAGAAAGAAAAGTTTATTAGGGGTTCATGACTTCAAAGGTCTCAGTCCAAAGACAGAGGACTCTTGCTTTCTGCCCAAAATGAGGCAGAACATAACATCATGGCAGAAAGGTGTGGAGGAGGAACAGCTCAGGACATGACTACCAAGAAGCAGAGAGAGATTGCTACCCTTATCACAGACAAAATATAAACCCCAAAGGCTTGCCCTCAGTGCCCCATCTCCTCTGGCCTCACCCTGTCTACAGTTACCACCCACTAATCCCTATCAGAGAACTAATGCACTGATTAGGTTAAGGTTCTCAAAACCAATCATTTCACCTCTAAACTTTCTTGCATTGTCTCATACATGAGCTTTTTGGGGACAGCTCATATCTAAACCATAACATAAATAGACCACAATTTATCCATTAATTAAAAGTTAATGGTTCCAATTTGGTGCTATTATAAACTGTTATATATTATATATAACAGACTTTTCAAACACATTTTGTATATAAATCTTTAAGTGGATACATGCACTCATTTCTCTTTAATAAAGTTTTCTATAATGCTATGGATATATAAAATTTCTAGGTCAAGGGATGTGTATGTATTTGGTACTAATAGGTATTACAAAACCAGTTTTCAAGTGGTTGTCCCAGTTAGCACTCCAAAGAGCAATATCCAAGAGCTCTAATTGTTCCTTGCCATGATTTTGTGTTGTTGGTCTTCTTGATTATAGCCATTCTCATGAGTGTTTAACAGAATCATATTGTGCTTATTCTTTGTGTCTAAATATTTAACTTCAATTCTCTGGTTTTTAACTAATTGGTATGAGGAACATTAAGTTGAGAGTGCTACTGTAATAATTAGTACACATGGACAATCAGTATGCCCCAGGCAATTTCCTGTTCCAAGAGAAGATTATTACCATTTTTTGTTTTTGTTTGTGTTTTAGTACTGGACATCAAACTTAGGGCCTTGCATATAATGGGCAAGCACTCTGCCACTGAGCTATACCCTAGCCCTTTTTTATTTTATTTTGAGTGAGGGTCTTAATAAGCTGCCATGACTGACCTGGAACATGTGATACCCTGCCTCAGTCTCCAGAGTAGCTGGGATTACAGGTGTTCAACACCAGATCCAGCAAGATATTATTATTTAAGAATATTTTCTAATGTGTATATTAACTTTAATCAACTTTATTTTCAACATCTGGTTATGCATAAAATTCTTTATTTTAATGTTTTCATTGTCTAATGTGTTACCAGATTTCTTAGTGTAAACCCCTTGCTAAATAACTAGAATTCAATGCAGTGTATTATGCTGTTAATGTATTACCACACTGTCTACTTGGAATGTTTCTGTTGCTATTGATAGGCAAGCTTGATTTGTTGACATTTGTATACGCTATATTTGGGGAGCTTTAATATCAAGGTTACATTTTGTTTATAAAAGACATTAAATTTTTTCTGCCTCTCTTCTCTAGAATTGGTCAAATAGTATTGACTAGGTCTGGTTCAAAGCACGGTGAGAACTTTCTTTGCCACTCTCCAGCCTGATCCTGTTTTTAGGAAGTAACTCTGAGAGCAAGCCCTGCTTATTCTGCAGCATCTAGCTTACTTATGTTTTCTTTAAGGCAATGTAATAAACTGAAACCAGAGACTCTGGTACCAGAGGCCTGGGGTTAAAAATATTGTTACATGATGATTAGCTATTGTCCTCAGGAAGACCACCTGTCCTAATGTACCTCTATTTCTTCAATTGAAAAATGAGAATCATAAAATAATTATAATAATAGTAATAATGATGATGATGATAATACTTATAGGTTTGTTGGAAATTTTTTAAAGTATTAAGGTATGTAAAGCCCTCAGAACAGTGTCATCTGACACAGATTAAACAGCCTTTAGTGATATTATTTCGTCTCTTCTGGGGGCAATTTGGGCAATTTATCTTCTTGTAGAAAATGTATTTCATCAAATTAAACTGCACAATATGGGTAGAGTCATCTCTTCTGTGTCTTCAAATTCCCTTCACATTTTTTTGTTACTTCCTCATTATCACTTTTTATATTTTATTGGCATCCTGCTCTGTTCACTTTGATTGGTTTTCCTAACAGTTTTATGGTCTACTTTTCCTCCCAATGAACTAACATGAGATGTATTCATTATTTGCAGTGATTTTCAGCTTCTACTTCATTGTCTGCCCTGATTTTTATTTGTTTTTTCTTTTTCTTTATTTTATTTCTCAGTTTGGGGGAATATACTTGCTTAATGTTGTTATTTACTACTTGATTTATCTGTTTCGAACATCTTTTGATCAACAATAACAAAAGATAAGAAAATCAACGTATTTTTATTATTCTCCACAAAGTAGTTTCTTCAAAAAAAGTTCCTGAAACCACGTTCTCAGAGTTCCTACCTGTTTGAACTCTTGTTTTCCTTTCTCTCTCTCTCTTTTTTTTTTTTTATTTGTATGAGAGCAGGCCTGGATACGCAAACTGTCATTTATTTGTTTTGGAAAGACTTTGGTATCTGTCCAACCACGCCTGGTTGGCCTTTATTGAGTTTAACACCCCCCCCCCTTCACATATCCTCTTTGGCCTACAGATGTCTCTTAATTGTATCAAAGATGGAGTTTGTCCTTCGTTTCTCTTTTGGTTTACTTAGTTCCTTTGCTTGCTTTGTCCTCATTTAGAACATGAAAAAATAAGCCCATAATCCTTACTCTGCTATTCAAAAACTGGAAATCTGCCAATCTCTCTATCATTCTTTATTATCAGATCCAATTGTTAGGTAGAAGATAGGGCTTGGAGAAGGGACAAAAAAAGCCAAGAGAGGGTCCCACCCCTAGGGCCCTCAGCTCCTCCTGTTTCTCTTTTTTTAGTAAAGTAAACTGACCAAAAAAATCCTGGACTAAATATCATATTTCTTTTCCAGTTAGAAAGCTATTTCTAATGCAATTGTTCTGTCACTATATATTTCCCAGCCCATCATTCCTTCCAGCCCCCAAGACCCTCAAGTACTTGAGAGAACATTGATACAAAAAAAAAAAATTAAAAAATCAACATTATTCTTTGAAATGATTTCTTAGCAAATTTTCATATAAAATGTAAGAAAAAATATAGCTAAATTTTCAACATTGACATCTTAAAACACAAAATTCAGAGCAAGAACATGAGTTTTATAAAAGGTCACTTTACCTTAATATAAGCTTCATAGTTGCCCTCAACCATTGCAAAGCAGGAATCACATGGATGTGACATTTCGGTAGATCTTTATAGCAAAAAATGTATAACAAAAACGGGTGAGTAGCTTTCTTTTTAAAATGAGCCTGTTTAAAGTTAAGGTGTAATTTATTAAATGGTGTTTCTTGATTGATATAATTAAAATATATCCATTAAAAAAAAAAACAGCTCCTCCTGTGAGGGGAAAAATGGGCCATCACCATTAAACAGAGATGAGTTCAAGGAAAGTCACTGACCTTGGACATGCATTGTGGATTGCCCACCCCCACCCGCAGGTATTTTTTGGAAGAAAAAAAAACTTACACACATCACAGTAGAAAAGAAATGATGTCAGGTTCAACTGTCAATCAAGGTGTCAGCCACTTCCAAATCCACCCAAGGGAGAATGGGGACAACTAGCACAGCCCAAGGAAGCGAGCTCCACTGTATACCCAGGGCCTGGAGCTACCTCATCGAGTCCTTCTGTGTTGTAGAATTCTCGTGAGAATATGTCCCCTTTTTGTTAGAGGATGGTCTCTTGGAAGAGACTCACATTTCTTTGGCTTGTGTTCTTCTTTTCTTTTTTCCCCTTCTTATTAATTCAGCTTGCTTTCACAATGGCAGGCCATCGTTGCTCTAGCTTTTTGTTTATTTATTTGTCTGGGTTTTTTTGCAATATGGCACGTATTTGATTATTGAACTCTGTCAGAATTGCTCTCCCTGCTGAAATTCCACTGATCTCTCCTTCCCGCTTCTCTGGGGCCTGGTAATTTTTCATTATAATTTGTAACTACAGCGTGGGTTATCCCATGGTTTGGAAGATCCCACTTACACCAGATAAATTCTGGCTGGCAGAATCTTTTCTGCTGTTTCTCCAATTGCCAGGGTTCACCCTCACTGTGGTCCCAGTGCAAGACACCTCCCTCAGGTGGTGGACTTCAATGAGCCTCCTTGTGGCCCTGGAGAGAGCCAGCCCTGCCTTTTGACCCCATGTGCTTCTGGTCTCTCTCTTTTCTATTCTTCCAAAGCCAAGGAGGAAAAAGGGAAGGGGGCGGAGGTAACAGACCTCTTCAAGGAGGGGGTGGGTGTCATTTATGAGGGGAAATGTCATCCAGAACCTTCATGCCTTCATGGTGCCCGGTAGCCCTCCTCCTCCTCCTGCCCCCTTCCTCCTCCTCCTCCTCCTCCTCCTCCTCCCCTTCCTCTCTAAAAGAACTCTTCCATTTTCCCTCTTACAGTCTTCACAGCTGCATTTCCTTGAGTTGTTTGAAATGATGAGTCCTGAGGCCACTCTTGGCTTCCCAGCTGAAGTTCCCAGTGGAAAGGAAAACAGGGCTGGGGATTTTATCACTCTTTTAGGTTGCTTCTCTGACCAGTGGGTCTTCCCGTGAGCACTTGTAAGGAAGGACATGTCCACTGATGTGGAAATTGCCACGTCTTCACTCGGGTTGGTCTAGAGTCTCTGGGTGGGGCAGGAGGGGCCGGGGAATTACTGAGAATTCCGAGTGTTTTCTGGCCTGTTCTCTCTCACCTCCCACCTGGATTGCTTCCATGGAAGAGCACCTGCCATCTCAGGTCTACACTGGGACCCCCATTCTCAATCTAACTGCTCCTGTTTTATTACTGTGTAGACACTAGCTCTTCTTGGTGTTTTTACCCGCTTTGCTCAGCGCTGCCTCTCTTCCTCCTTCCTCTGACACCTGTCTCCCATTCAGCTAAGCTACCTGACAGGCACCATTGTGTACTTCCTCTTTATTCAGAGAAGCTTTCACCCAGGGTGATGCAGTGTTCTGTGTCCAGATGAGGGTGGTGGACACACAGATGAACACATTTCGAAAAGTCATCCAATGTGCATGTATCTGTTTTATTACGTATAAATCATGACTTAAAAATTTTAAATGGTTGTTAGTAGTCCTCTGAAAAGTGACAAAGAACAGCACTGGACAGAATTAGAACAGAAGGCAAAAATAATTACACACATAAGCCCCCCCCCCCACACACACACACACACTCATAGACACTTGATGACACTTCCCTGTTACTTATCAACCCCCTGTTCATCATCATTCATTGGATCATTACCTAATTCCCTTTAGACTTTCAAGTTGGCCATAAGTTTTAAGTAATATTTGTTCTAATTATTTCAATAACCTGCCGCATCCATGATTACATCTCCTGTCTCATTCCTGAAGTAGTGTATTTTTGCTCTCCCTGTAGGTACTTGGCACAGTTTTATCTGTTTTATTGGTTACACCTATCCAAAGACCAGGATTTGGGCTTAATTTTTTTTCTAATAAATTTGTCTTTTTTATCTTCATTTATTTCTAACTGTAATTATATAAATTGCTTTTCCTGATTTATTTTGGCTCATTCTTTTTTTTTTCAATTTTTTCCTAAATTTTTATGAGATTTTTACATAGTGCGTATGTGAAATACTTCTTGCACTCTTTAAATTGCATTCATTTGTATTGATTTATAGGCTTTCTTTATGTATTCTAAGCAATATATTGTATATATGTTATAAAAAATAAATATATTTACAATCAAACTAACATGTATTATCTCACATAGTTACTTTTTGTATATGTATGTATGTGGAGAACATCTAAGATTTAGACTCCTATCAATCAAAATTCAGGTTCACAACAGTGTCTATTTTTACTGTTTCACCTATGCTTTTGACTTTATACCCCCCCAAAAAAAAATCACTGCCCAGATCAGTGTTAAAAAGCTTTCTGTCTATATTTTCTTCTTAGCAAAATTCACATATACAACATCCACATTTACAAAGTTCACATATACAACAATGCAACATTGTTGATTAATGTACACATAGAAGTACAGTAATCAACACATAGCTGTACGATAATCAACATACTGATTTCATGTGTTTTACAGATATACCCAGCAGTGGGATTGCTGGATAATTAGGTAACAATCTTTAATTATTTTAGAAGTTTTTTTTTTCCCTCCAATTTAGTAGACTGCCTTTTTATTGTGGGTTGGTCATTACCTTGGCAGTGAAGAGAATTTATAGTTTGATACAATTCCATCTGTCTATTTTTACTGTTTCACCTACAGTTTTCATTTCATACCAAAAATAAATAAATAAAATCACTGCCCAGACCAATGTTAAAAAGCTTTCTGTCTATGTTTTCTTCTAAATTTTTATAGGTTCATAAATTTCAGGTTTTATATTTAAGTCTTTATTTTGAGTTTGTATTTGTATATGGGTTCAGAAAAGGGTCCAATTTCATTCTTCTGCATATGGATAGATGGTTTCCCAATACCATTTACTGAAGATACTGCCCTTGCCCCACTGCGTTTTCTTGGCATCCTCTAAAAAATAAGTTGACGATAGATGTGTGGACTTATTCCTGGGCTTTCTCTTCTATTTCACTGGTCTGTCCATTGTTTTTATGCCAATTCAACATTGTTTTGGTTACTGTAGGTTTGTAATAGATTTTGAAATCAGGGATGAAAAAATGCTTCAATTCTTTTTTGCTCAATATTGTTAAGTGGCATTTAAATTTATATTTCCTAACCTACTTTCTGGTGTCCAAGAATGTAATAAGTTTTGAGTTAATGAACACTTTTATTTCTGCTAATAATCTAAATATAATCTTTGTAAATAACACAATATCTATAAATGACTTTGTTCTTTACTTATCTTTTATTTTTACTTTCTT